TTTTCGATTACCAGTGGGTTCATAACTTCACAACGGGTGAGGAGCCTGAGGGACAATTCCGAAAACCGATCCGATAGTGGCAACATGCCCGCCAACACTTCGAGACTCATCGTATGAGTCGAGTGCATGCATCCTAACGCGATACGAAGACAACGATACTGGATACGTTCCAGTTTGATGATGTGAGTTTTAGCCGCCGACTGGAAGCAAAAACTACCGTACTCCAAAACCGATAAAATCGTTGTCCGGTACAACGTTAGAAGATCTTGCGGATGAGCTCCCCACCACGTTCCGGTAATTGTTCGGAGAAAATTGATCCTTTGTTGGCATTTTCGTCTCAGATACTCAATGTGGGATCTCCAGGTGCATTTGGAATCGAACCAGACCCCAAGATATTTGAAAGACATGGACTGAGTGATCGGCTTACCCAAAAGTTGAAGCTTCGGTTGTGCTGGGCTATGCTTCCTAGAAAAAACAACCAACTCAGTTTTCTCCGAGGAGAATTCGATACCTAGCTCGATAGCCCAAGTAGACAAATTATCTAAGGTATCCTGTAAGGGTCCTTGCAGGTCGACCTCTTTGAGCCCTGTCATAGACACTACTCCGTCATCTGCAAGTTGTCTCAACGTGCAGTTGTCCCTTAGACAATTGTCAATTTCTCTGACGTAGAAATTATACAAAAGGGGGCTTAAACATGAGCCCTGGGGGAGACCCATGTAACTAAATCGAGAAGCTGTAGAGTTTCCATGAGAAAAGCTCATATGTTTCTCTGACAGCAAATTGTACAAAAAGTTATTAATTAATGGGGAAAGGCCACAAGCGTGGAGTTTGTCTGAAAGGACTTCAACCGATACTGAATCAAAAGCCCCCTTAATATCCAAGAACACAGAAGCCATTTGCTCTTTTTTAGCAAAAGCCAACTGGATTTCTGTGGAAAGCAACACGAGACAGTCGTTCGTTCCCTTACCCCTACGGAAACCAAATTGAGTATCTGAGAGTAGGTGGTTCGTCTCAACCCATTTATCGAGGCGAAAAAGGATCATTTTCTCCAACAATTTTCGAATGCACGATAACATCGCGATGGGACGATACGAGTTATGATCTGACGCGGGTTTTCCAGGCTTTTTAATGGCTATAACTCTCACTCGCCTCCAATCATCTGGAACAATATTGAACTCCAGGAACTGACAAAACAAGTTCAACATGCGCCTCTTAGCGACGTCTGGGAGGTTCTTCAACAAGTCGAACTTGATCCTATCAGCCCCCGGAGCCGAATTGCGACACGTAAGGAGCGCGAGTGAGAGCTCTAGCATTGAAAAAGGCTGGCTGATCTCGTCTACCGAATTCGTCGTTTCGCGAGGAATCATCTGTGCCGGCACGGAATCAGGACATACTTTTCGCGCGAACTGGAGAATCCACCGATCCGAGTACTCCTCGCTCTCGTTGTTTGAAGACCGGTTACGCATCCTTCGCGCCGTGTTCCAAAGCGTATTCATCGACGTTTCACGCGATAAACCGTCCACGAATTGCCGCCAGTATCCGCGTTTCTTGGCTTTGATGAGGCTCTTGAGTTCGTGTTCAAGAGTCGAGTACGCTTCGAAATACTCGGGTGTTCCGCGTTTCCGGAAAAGCTTAAACGCGTCGGACTTTTTACGATAAACCTCAGTGCATTGCTGGTCCCACCAAGGGGTAGGAGGTTTCCTACGAAAAGACGTTCCTGGAACCGGCCGAGTTTGAGCTCGAAGCGCGCTGTCCAAGATCAGATTGGAGAGGAAGTTATATTCCTCCAACGGTGGAAGCTCTTCTACCGACGACACGGCTTCATCTATCGCGGTCTTGAACGTTGTCCAATCGATATTACGGGTGAGGTCGTACGCGACGTTAACGGATTCCGACGGATTGAACCCACTGGCAATCGAAATTTTGATCGGCAAGTGATCACTACCGTGGGGATCCTGGATCACATTCCACGTGCAATCCAACGATAATGAATTAGAGCAAAGTGTGAGGTCTAATCTACTTCCATTTGAGGATGGACCAGCCAGACGTGTTACTTCTCCATTGTTAAGAATTGTCATATTGAAGTTATCACAGAGGTCATATATCAAAGTAGAACGGTTGTCATCATACAGTTCCCCCCAGCCTGTACCGTGGGAATTAAAATCTCCCATAATCAACCGTGGAGTAGGAAGAACTGAACAGATATCTGAAAGTTGTTTTTGACTAATCGAAACTCGGGGAGGAATATACACAGAAGCAATACAAAGGCTCTTGCCTTTAACAAAAGCCTGACATGCGACAACTTCAATACCTGGAAATTGTGGAAGATTCACTCTATAGAAGGAATGGCACTTTTTGATCCCCAAAAGTACTCCTCCTCCACGCGAATCCTCACGATCCAGTCGAATAATGTTAAAATCATGAAAAGGAAGATCGATATCTGAAGAGAGCCAAGTTTCACACAGAGCAAATGCATCACAATCATTATTGTGAACCAAAAACTTAAACGATTCTATCTTAGGAATAAGACTTCGACAATTCCACTGTAGAACAGTGATCAAATCCCCGACCTCGTTTGGAAAATTATCCATCGAAGGAGATGATTGCTGCAAGGAGGGGCCACTTCAATGTCAACTGCTTCAAGAGGGTTTTCACAGTAGGAATCATTGCCAGAACAATGCTTTTCAGAGGATCAGAAATATCGAGGTAATTGAGGATACTGTCCACAATGTTATCAAATGAGAACAACCCAGATGAAGAAGGGGCTTGTGTTCTGAAAATTGGGGCATCGGGGGTTTTGGATGTCCCCGGGAGAGGTGGAAAATCCTGGGTATAATCAGTTCTGCGGAATCCAGGAGGAGTAGAAGTCTCCTTTTTTCCACCACTCCTTGATTTGGGCAAGCTGATTTGGGGTTCTTGATCTGCAACTTTCCGCGAACGGATGCGTTTTCGTTTCCGGGCAGAACCTTCCGGAAAACTGAAAGAAACTCCCTCCTCAGCCAAGTCAGAGCCAGACTCGTCATCTGACAAAAGAGCGAAGGGATTTGTTTCGTTGGTCGATGGCTTGGCTGTCTTAAGCATTTCTGCAAAAGACCGCCTGGAACGTTCTTTAAGAGAGCGCTCTAGTTTTTCCCCGCGTTGTTTATACACCGGACACGACGAGAGACCATGAGGAGGAGATCCTTTGCAGTACACGCATTTTGGTGCCGTGACTGTGCAGGCGCCATCCTCGTGCTTCTCCCCGCATTTGGAACAGCGTGCCTTGCTGCCACAGTGAGAGGCCGTATGTCCCAACTGTTTGCAGTTTTGGCAGTTCATGACCCGAGGAACAAACAAACGCACAGGTAGCCGAAGTTTTCCCAACTCGATGTACTGAGGAAGGGCTGAACCAGAAAAGGTCACGCGAAACGAGTCTGTGGGGGTAAAACTCTTTTTACCCTCGCTGACAGATACTGTTTTTGGACATCCAGTATCTTCACCGGGGGGAGCAAGGGGTTCTTGAAACGACCAACCGCCTGCTTCTCCAAGATCTCGGGGGTCAGACTCGCTTCGGTGACCACACCTTCGTTCTCCACATCACGAGCTGGTATGTAAACCCTGTACTCAATCGTAAAGAGCTGGGAGGCAGCAATCTCGTTAGCCTGCTTCAGGTTAGAAACGACAACACGAAGTTTATTATGCCTAACCTTCGTGATTTCGGTCACGGCCGAGTATCGCTTCGTCAGATCAGTGGAAATTTGCATCAAGTTCAAAGGTTTGTTTTTGGGCTGAAAGTAGACAACCCATGGTCCAGTCGAGTCATCTGGATAGGCTCGCGATCGGGGGCTTTTCTGAGACGAACCATGAATGACAACACGTTTTCGTCTTTTCTTGCCATCGAGTGGCAAACTGGTGTCATCTTCCGACAAAATGTCCATATCGTCTTCTGACGAGACGTCCATTTTGCCGTACTAGTGGGAGCGGTAAACGCTCTACCACTGAAACGATGCTTAAAACCACACAGACACAATAAACAGAAAAAAATTACAAACACAGAAACACAAAATTAAATTTAACTGATGGGCGAGAGAAAGAAACAGGAAAAAAACTTATCTGCTATACTACTACCACCGAGTGATTACACAGCAGCAGCGGAGCGACGCGCAGCGTGGGTGACCTTCGATGCGCGTGTGCGGGCGATCTTTGTAGTGGTGTGCTTGTATTAGGCTCGGCACTCAGCTGGACACACGATGATGGATGACCGGTATAAATGCGGAGGCAGATGCTGACACTCGATGACGATGATCTGTGTGCAGGTATGCGTGATCACGCACCGATGGCAAAATGGTTGGCGAATTGGCAATCGCAAAAACAATTTTCCTTCCGATGATGCCGAAAACACACTTTCTTCTCAGAAAAAAACTCACTTTCAGATAATTGTTTAGCCGGGTACTATGCCAGTAATCACTAAGCGAGAAAAAACTGATAATTTAAACCAACCGAATACCGAGAAAACTTCCGAAATACCGGAGCGCGAAACAAGTCGACTGTACTTCTTGCTAGGTCGCAGTGGGATGGAAACATATTTTTATGTTATGGTTGAATAAATTCTCCAGATTTGTGTGAACAAAGCCTGAGCAGAAGTTATTATTAAAAATAGTACAAGTATTATTAAGCATACAGTTGAATAAAATCGTCAAGAAGTCGTTTCTTCAATAGGCAATTGTTTGTTGGGATACATTTGAATGAATTAAAAGCGGATCATATTTGACGAAGTTACAATACTCCAATATTGACCCAAAATTTGCCTATCCTAGCTATTTCGAGTATCCCCTGTTGCATTTACAGTATATACCATAAAATCTAAGGTGTGACTCTAAAGGAACAAGCGTGATTTATTTCTTATGTTTATACATATCAGAATATCACTTCCCATAATCACTAACTCTAATATGCTAATACCTACTCTGATGATCAGGAACTGATTAACTCACCTGTATCCTTGTTCTCCCTTCTTCCAGCTAAAATCATCCACAACCACAGCAATACGGCATCAGTCGGCAGCAACAACAACAACAACAACAACAACAACGCAAATGCAATAGTGGTCCATCAGGTGGACCCCGTTCAGCAGCAGCTATCGGGAGGAATCTCCTCCTCAACCGCCACTACCACACCCGGCACCACCACCAACATGAGCAGCAATACGGCCAGCGCACCCAGCAGCGGCAGTATTCCGGCAGTGATGGGCGGTAGCGGAGGCGGAGGAGGAGGTGGAGGTGGTGGCAGTGCAGGCGTCATACCGGCGTCCACTGCCACCACCGTGGTGGTCATGGGCAACGCTTCCGATAGCAACCAGAAAGATTCAACCACCATCATACACTCACAGTCGATACTGCTGTCGTCTGTACCAGAAACCTTGGCAAACACTAAAGAGAAAACACCAATGTGTTTAGTTAATGAATTAGCACGATACAACAAGATCCAACACCAGTACCGGTTAACCGGCGAGTCCGGCCCGGCACACAAAAAGCGCTTCACCGTCACGCTCAAGCTGGGCGATGAAGAATACACGGCAGAAGGTCCAAGCATCAAGAAGGCACAGCACAGTGCAGCCCACGAAGCCATCGGGGCCACCAAGTATAAACATCCACCGGCGAAAACCAACCGGACCAAACCGGGCGGGAAAACCAGCATCGGCAACATAACTCCAACGGTCGAACTGAATGCGCTGGCCATGAAACGCGGGGAACCGACTGTCTACGAAACGGAACAGGTGGTAACTGCACCCAAGTACCCCGTCAACAGTCATCCGCCAGGGGCTCCAAACACTCCCCAACAGGGTGGCGCTGGCAGTCACAACTTCTTCGCGGCTCCACCGCCTGGCGCTCACTACGGTGGATACCACCGTAGCAATAGCACCTACAATGCTCCTCCACCGGCTGGCGTTCGGTATGGTGCTCCACCTCCAAATTCCTTCAACAGACGGAACACCATGGGTGGAAAACCGGACTACCATTCCCGTGGATACTACTACAATCAACACGTCCCGCCGATGGCACAACCGGTGCCGGAAGTGTACAAAGTGACCCTGCACGTGGGAGAGAGGACATTTTTAGGGGAAGGGCACACGCTGCAAGCGGCTCGACATGATGCGGCGGCTCGGGCCCTGGAGGTACTGAAGCCGCTAACACCGGATTCGGCCAACGCCGTAACGGACAGTCACAACACATCGATCGACAGCGATGACCCCAACTCCGAGCTAAAATCTCCGATCTCTCTCGTGCATGAGATGGCATTGAAACGCAAACTGTCCGTTCAGTTTGAAGTCCACGGCGAAAAGGGTCCTCCTCACATGAAAGTTTTTACTACTCTTTGCAAAGTGGGTACTATCGTTACCGAAGGCGAAGGTAACGGGAAGAAGCTATCGAAAAAGCGAGCGGCTGAAAAGATGCTGGATGAGCTGAGGAAGCTTCCTCCGGCTTCGCCGGAGAAGAACACCCGCATGCTGTTGAAGCAAAAACGGAAGGTACCGCTACCGAAGAAGAAAACTCGTAACCTGATCAAGGAGAAGGGCGAAGAAGATCCTTCGGGAATGGTGAATCCCATCAGCCGGCTGATGCAGATTCAGCAGGCACGCAAGGAGAAGGAACCCGTGTACACACTGCTGGAGGAGCGTGGCGTTGCACGGCGTCGGGAGTTTATCATGGAGGTGTCGGCCAGCGGCAAATCGGCGACCGGTGTGGGCTCGACGAAGAAGCTGGCCAAGAAAGAAGCGGCGGAGAATCTACTGGTGATGCTCGGGTATGGCCGGTCGGTCGATGGCGGAGGTAGCGATGGTTCGCCGAACAAGGAGAACATGTCGGGAAGTGCAAACGAGATGGTGGAAAAACCGCCGGGCCGAAAGATCGTGTACTCCGAAGGGGGCGGCGGCCCGGTGGCGGGTGGCGGAAAGGTGCACCACCAAGGTGGCGGTGGCTCTTCCGGACGGCAGATCGTGCCCGGGGTGTTGCAGTTGCATTCAGGTAGGTGTGGAAAGATATGTCTTTTCGCGAATTGGTGTTTTGTTTTCAGATCGTTGGTTTGATTATTGAGATGTATCATGCTCGGCAGACTGTTTTAATTTGTGCAATTGTTTGATTAGCTCGCATGCATCTACAATGTACTTAGAGTACTGAAAGTCGAGTTTAACAAGATACAAATAACAAATTTTTCAGAAAAATCGAAATCACCAGAATAATAATTAATATTAGTGAAGGAACTACGTGGACAGGACGGGGCAATAATGAACAGGCCGAGACTTAACGAACAAAAGAAGCTCTTGAATTGGAATGACAGCGAAAAATAACAGGAGTGACCAGGTCAGGTAATCCAACGACTACTTTGATTTCACCCCCTCTCGCTTGGATAGTCCCAGCATCGTCCGAAGTTCCTCAAATCGTCCGACATCCAACGATTTAGTGTAGAAGTCAGCCAACTGGTTGTTGCTGGCAATTGGCTCCACCAATAGCTTACCAGCAGCGACATGATCACGAAGAAAATGGTGTTAATGTCTATGTGTTTGGCTCTCTTACTCTCCAAGTTCTTATGGCTATACCAATGCATCCACGGTTGTCTTCGTATATGGTGATTGGTTCAATGTTCAGCTCATCGAGATCGCCTAGAACACCGACTAGCCATATTGCTTCCGATGCTGCAGCACTCAACGCTACATATTCAGCTTCGCTTGAAGAAGTTGCAACTGTTGTTTGCTTCTTGCTTGACCACGCAACAGTACATCCGTAAACACGGAAAACAAATCCGCTTACTGATTTCCGGTCGTCGGTATCGGTGGCCCAGGCTGAATCAGCAAACCCGATGAGTGGCGCCGCTTCATTGTCTCGAGTAAACGTCAAGCAACACTCCATCGATCCTTTTAAGTATCGTACAACCCGCTTCAGAGCTGTCCAATGTTGTTGTCCAGGTTGAAGTTGGAATCTCCCCAGATATCCGATAGGAAAGCAAATGTCCGGCCTTGTGGACATCATCACGTACATCAGGCTTCCCAATAATTCACGGTACGGTTCGAACACCTTCGGCCACTTGACGATCAAATTTCAATCCTTTCTCCATTGGCGTCCTTGTTGCATTGCACTCCGCCATGCCGAACTTTCCAGGCTGGTTTCTTGAGACAGCATCATTCTACCATTTTGTTGATCGTACCGTATCTTCATCCCAAGAAAGTGAGTCAGCTCTCCACAATCGGTCATTTCAAACATCGCCGACAGTTCGCGTTTCAGCTTCATTATGGTGGTCAGCTGCATACCTGTTATCAGGAGATCGCCGACATACAGCACGATGAAAACAACGAATTTTCCCCCTCTTGTCGATACGGGTGTATAGGCAATAGTCGTGCTTGGAACGTGTGAAACCTAGCTTCAGCAGCGCTTGATTGAATTTTTCGTTCCAACAACGAGGAGACTACTTCAAACCATACTGGCACACCAGCCAAGGGTCTGCCTTGACGCCATCCAGAACAGCCTTGAAGATTCTCTCTTGTAGCTCACCATGAAGGAACACCGTCGTGACGTCCATCTGATGGAACTGGAATCCCCTTTGTACACCTACGGCCAGCACAATTCGAAGCGTCGTCAACTTCGCAAGGGCTTGACACCGGCAGGGCATTCCACCGTCGTCCACACCTTATTCTCCTCAAGAGATTTTAACTCGTCTCTAACTGCGGTCATCCAGAGCTGTCGATCTTCTCGATCTTTGATTTCTTCGTACGATTCCGGGGAACCTAAGAGAGTTGAAATTTTACCAGCAGATGTTGCTCTAAACCCAGTAAAGAAGTCAAGTAACTTACCTGGGAGCCTGCGCTCCCGTTCACTGCGCCTAGTGTCAGACTCTGAATAGTCATCACCTCTATGTTTGGAAGGGAGCGCCCTAGGGTTTTCGGGTGGAGCTTCTTCGGTTGGTTCTTCATCCAGATCAACGGTGCTTTGCGTATCCGAATCGATTTCATCTTCGGTTTCGCTTTCGATAACAGCTACTGCTTCTTGTTCGGCCGACGAACTGTCCCCCTTTGGCGGATACAGCATGGGAATCACTAAGGGAACCTTCGAGCAGTGATGCAAAATATCACGACACTCACGTGACACTCGTCTTGGCATCAACCGACTATCGCTGACAGATCGTTTTGTCACGCAGTGAGAGTTAGAGCCATGGCAAACAACAATCACCAGTAATGGTCGCTGCTCACAGGCAAAACGTTACACTCGCTGCTGATAATGAAAAGCACAACGAAAACAGTGAAGACTTCTGCAGTACGTTGCCCAGATCGGTGATGGATCACAACAGAAGACGACATTCACCAGTTGCTTTTTACTTCTTTCGTCAACTTGATGGATGGTCATGGAGAGAGCTTCGACGAGAGCACATTGATAGGAATGAACAAAGCGTTACTACCATCAGCTGTTTGATGATGGTGATTGTGATAGGTCGCAACTCTGCCTTCGAACCTTCATCTTCTTCATTTGCGTATGATAAAGAAGCTTCATCGAACTTGATGTCACGAGAGATGGATACTTTTCTAGCTTTTCTGTCCCATAAGCGGTAGCCATTTGAAGCATAGCCAATCATGACCGCCTCCCGACTCTTGTTTTCCAACTTCTTTCTCAGCTGGCTTGGAACCCACGAAAACGCTTGACATCCAAAGATACGCAGCTTGGAGAGATCAGGTTTCGCACCTGTCGAGTGCTCAGTGTACGATTATCCGACAGAGCAGCAGTAGGACACCGGGTCAACAAGTACGTTCCAGTAAGTGCTGTCTGAGACCACATGAATTTTGGCATATTTGAGTCGATAAGCATGGTTCTCACTTTTTTACTAGGGTTCGGTTGAACCGTTCAACCACGCCGTTTTGTTGAAGCGAGTATGCAACGGTTGCCTGAATTTGAGTTCCCTTTCGTTTGTAGTACGCTTTCTGTTCTCCGGAGCAATACTCACGTCCCTGGTCGACAGTTAGCTTGCAAATTCGTTTTTCAAACTGGGTGGTTACCATGGTTTTTCATACTCTTGAAAATGTACGAAGACGAGGAAAAGGAGACGAAATATCTTGATACATCCCAAGCCGGCGGATCGATTGGTCCGCACACATCCGAATGTATCCGCTCTAGCAATCGACTGGCTCGCTCACGAGTTCCGTTGAAGGGTTCTCTGCACTGCTTTCCAAGCACACATGTGTCACAGAATCCAATTGAATCAACTTTTGGGCCAAGACCTTCCACCATATTGTGTCGAACTAACGTATTCATCGTGGACTGGCGTGAACCAAACGACGATGCCAGAGATTGCTGACCTCCGCTGCGCAGAGATTTGCTGTAGGTCCTACCACGTCCAGATCTAACTCCAACTCGTAGAGATTTCCTCGCAACTGTGCCACACCGATCGCCGCATCACCTTGCTTCATCAGCGCCTGATGTTTTCCGTCGCGGCTTGTAAACAACACGTCAATCCCGGCTTGGGACATCTTCTTGACAGATAGCAGGTTGCCTCGCAGCTCTGGTACGAAAATTACATTTTTCATCTGGAACAGAATACCTTCTTTGGAAATCCCCTTGACTTCGCCTGCATATTTCCCAACAATCGACACACCATCTTTGGCCACATCAATAACGAAAGGTTGTTTGAGCTTCCGGACCGACTGCATGCAATGTAAACTGTTAACCAGATGGTCGCTACATCCGGAGTTCACGTAGAAGATGGTTCGCTTGTTCTGCGCCTTCAGTTGCTTCTGGTTCACCATGAACGAAACTGCTTTGCTTTCAACCGCTGCGTTGACGTTACCATCGATCATCTTGACACGACAATCTTTAATCATGTGGCCAGTTTTGCCCCATCGATGACACTTTCCGTTGAACTTTCGTTGCTTCTTATTTCTGCCTCCAACAAACGCTGCTGCCTTGTCTTCGCTCGAATCTTCCATCCTATCAGACCGCTTGGATTCTTCAGCCATTAACCGCTGTTTCACAGTCTCCAATGTGAGGTCGTTCTCGTTGATATTCTCTAGAGCCGTTACAAGAGAGTCGTAGGTATCGGGAAGGGTGAGAAATAATTGCGATACCATGTCGTTCTCTTCGAGCTTCGCGCCTGCGGATTTGAGTTGGCGTATGATACATCGAACTGTTGAAAATGATGTCGCATTGAAGTTCCTTCTTTTATACGGAGCCTGGCCAACTGCTTCCGCACAGGGTCTGACTTGCTACAGACTTCTTCGCATATGTATCTTCCAGTGCCTTCCACATTTCTCGAGCAGTCTCCTTGTCCCGTACTATGCCTAGACATTCATCAGAAAGGAATCCAACTAGCAAGGACTTCGCTTTCAGATCTGTCGAGCTCTTGAATTGGAATGACAGCGAAAAAATAAGAGGACTGACCAGGTCAGGTAATCCAACGACTACTTTTATTTCAATTAGTACTAGTATTAGACCCAAGCAACCACTTAACCAAATAAGTGGCTCTTCTTGCCTTAAACGGGTCTCATCAGTTTCAAACACTGGTATTAGCCGTTGCACAGCTGTATAAATTGCCAATGGTTACTTTGGGTCAGTGCGCAAAACAGTCAGGTTCATTGAGTCATTTTGATATGAATATGAACTGCCATCGTTTTTTCTTCTTCTTACTTCATTCACTTACATTCGAACTTGCTATTCAACATCGCCCTCGAAGGAGCGTTTAAGAGAGCTGGCGTGCAGAGGAACGGTACCATAATCACAAAGTCGCACATGCTCCTTGGTTTTGCGGACGACATCGACATCATCGGAATCGACCGTAGAGCAGTGGAAGAGGCGTTCGTGCTTTTTAAGAGGGAGACAGCGAGGATTGGTCTCACGATAAATTCTACCAAAATGAAGTACATGGTCGCCGGTAGAAAGCGTGGGAGCAATAGTGGTGTTGGTAGTGAAGTGGTGCTAGATGGCGAAAAATTTAAAGTTGTGGACGAATTTGTTTATCTTGGTACTTTAGTGACGTGCGATAATGAACAGGGCTTTCTACGGGTTGCGTAGCAGCTTGCGTACGAAAACGAAATTCGCGCTGTACAAGACGTTGATTCTGCCGGTAGCCCTTTATGGCCACGAATCGTGGGCATTGAAAGAGGCCGATCGGAGAGCTTTCGGTGTCTTCGAGCGTAAAGTGCTGCGAACAATACTCGGCGGTAAACTGGAAAATGGCATCTGGCGGCGTCGAATCACGAGTTGTACCAAGTATATAACGGCATGGATATTGTGAAGCTTATAAAACACGGCAGGCTACAGTGGGCTGGGCATGTGGCACGAATGGCGGAAGAGCGTCAAGCGAAGTCAATATTCAGCAGGGAACCCTGAAGAGGACTCGGTTTCGGGGTAGGCCGAGCACGCGTTGGCTTTGTTCAGTTGAGGAGGACATTAGGTCCTTGAACGTCCAAGGCGACTGGAAGCGTTTGGCTCAGGACCGAGACCAATGGAGACGGTTACTTCGTTCGGCGCAGATTTGAATTCAACGAGTCGTCGTCAGGTACTATGAACTGCCATCTGCCTCATCATTCACTGCCTCGTGAGAGTCTGAATGATTCAGAGGTAAACGAGTCACTGACAGCCGAGCACTCAGTCAGTAGCTCAATCAACACGTTTATTATGCCGTGATGGTACCCAATATTTGTTTTGAATGACTGAACGTACATTTTCTATGGAAAAATGACTCAATTACATGCTGTGTGAGCGAAGGCAAGCGGTGTGCGTCGCCTGCTCGTGAGTGACTGAATGTTTTTGTTGGCTCTTTCATTGCCTCGTCCTTTACCGTTTGGTACAAACGGTCTGCACAGAGCAGTGGATTGAATAGTGCAGTGCTTTCACACTCAGCCTAGGCAGTCAATAATTGTACGCTCTGCTTTAGGTATTAGCGAAGACTGAAGACTGGCAACTTTGCCAGAATTCATACGACGAAGGTGGAAGCAACGCATAGAAAAATTAGCAAACACACATACCTTTATTCTGCGGTTGCAGTATACCATTCGTTCGGAGCATTTACCTTTGAGCGGCAGATGACGTGATTATGCCAGTCTCATAGCGGATGTATGAGAAAACGGAAGAGTTGTCAGTCTTCGTGATATGTTGTCTTCAGTATTAGCAACAATCAATACGAAACTAACGATTTTAAATTGCCTCACTACTTGACTAGCCAACGATTCACGTACTCCATTCTAGTCAAAATTCTAGTACTACACTATGTTTGTTTTGATTCGCTATGAAAGTTTGACAGATAAAATGAGGGGTTAGTGGATTTTTCTATGTTTCGAGGGGTGAACCGATTAGCTTGGAACCGAAGATGGTACCATAGGGGAGCCAAAAAGTTGAGTGTGTTTCTTCGGGACCTACTAGTCTTAGAGTACCTCTATGGTATTAGTAAGTGATCATAGTTCTCAATGTAAATTTTCATATATCAGATAGATTCGGTCTTTGTGTGTGTTTTTACAGTCTAACTCCCACTGACTGGCATCGGCATTATGGATAGAATCCTCCTGCAACCATCTTTTATATAAATAATTGCAAGAAGCTTAAATCCGGGAGTTAGAAGGTGACAGCTCTATCGCAAATCCAAAAGCCCATTTCAAGAACGCAAGCATTCCGAAGCTATTTTCGTAAACGATAAGCCCCGCTCCAATGCTTTCAATGTGGGAATCATTAATAATGTACTGGAACTTTCAATCATGCGGTATTGCTTGATTGACGCGTATTTAATGAGTTTGAAATGTTTGTAGTATCACTAGTGCTAGTACTCGGAAACTAAGTATGAAAATATTATAAAGGACAAATTGGAACGAACTCACCGAATCTGGCCAAGTGAACCTTTTATGTCGCGGGACCGTCGCACTAAGGTGGCACTTATCCCGTCATCAGGGGCAGGAAATAAAACGCGCACGTAACTATAAATACTAATTTATTACGGCACTACTAAAAACAGTCACGCGACACAAAACAATCTAAAACATTCTAACTTGCTTGACAACATAATGTTATTGTTTTGCTCTTTCTGTTGCTTCACACGAGTGGCAGCTATGGTGAGGCCTGCGATAAAGATAGGGCAACTGGCAGTGTTGCCTAATCCATTTTCGTTGTCTGCAACATCTCCCCTCTTAATAGAGCTGGTAGGGGTCAAACCATCGAGGCTGCCTTCGAAGACGGGAAGAGCGCCGAGGTAGAACTTCTACCGGTTCGGTTTCAGCTGCTAACTCGAACTCAGTTGATGTTGCTGTCGTAGAAGACATTGACGACATCGATGTACTCGTGGTCGCTGGTGAACTACATCTCGGTGACGGCGGCAATGATTGAGGCGTCATCGGATTCGTAGTTGATGCTGAGCTAGAGGCTTGCGATGATGATGATTGGACGGGCTCGTCCGGTGCAAGCGACGACGGTGACTGAGGTAGGTTCCAGGCAGACATCAGGACGTTCAACGGAAATGAACTGTGTGAGCTCACGGCTTGTCTGACTGGTAACTTGGCATTCGAACTCGTGGAATTTCGACTACGCAACTGGTTGACGTGCGAGCGCAGCATCCGAGCATCGGTCCACACGTTATACATTACGTTACCGATTCGCTCGAGAACTATGCCAGGTACCCATTTCCAGGTGTTTTTGGTGTAGACCTTGGCGTAGACAGCATCGTCGCGGTTGAATGATCGTCGCTTTTGTTCTTTCTGCTCTTCTGGAACTGCCATGGGCGCGGGAGGCGGGCGTAACAACTCAAGGCTGGTTCGGATTTTACGGCCGAACATAGCCTCTGACGGCGTCTTGTTTTCTGGTACAGAGTGATTTGGCGTGCTCCTGTACGTGAGGAGAAACGTATCGATTGCTTCATCCATTGTTCCTCTTCCCTCTCGGATCTTCTTGACGGCCCTTTTGAATGTATCCACGAAACGCTCTGCTTGTCCGTTTGATTGTGGATGGAACGGGGCTGTCGTGAGGTGCTCGATGCCGTTCGTAACACAGAATTTGCCAAACTCTGCACTGGTGAATTGTGTTCCGTTGTCCGAGACCAGTGTAACCGGCATCCCCAGTCGAGCGAAGAGTCCACGCAAGATGGCAATTGTGGATATCGATGTAATGCTGCGCGTTTTGACAATCTCAGGCCATTTGGAGTAAGAGTCGACGACGATTAAGAAGTAGTCACCATCGATTGGTCCGGCGTAATCGATGTGAACGCGTTGCCATGGGCCAACTGTTTTCGGCCACGGCATCGGTGTAGCATGAGGAGGAGACTTCGCAACGGACGCACACTGCGCACAGGCCTTGACGTAACCAACGATGTCTTCGTCGAGTGACGGCCAGTACACGTAGCTCCTGGCAATCGCTTTCATCCGCTGCATACCCGGATGGCCTCGATGAAGCTGGTCCAAGCATCGTTTTTGGTGTTTCGATGGAATGACGAGTCGTTCGGCAAACAGAATGCACCCATCCACTACGGTGAAGGATTCCAGTCTGGCGTGGAATCGTTTGATCTCCGGTTCGACTTGCTTAGATTGCGGCCAGCCGTTTTGGATGTACCGGTAGACCTTGCGTAGAAGTGGATCGGCCTGGGTGCTTTGCGCGACGACTCTGAAATTAAGGGGAAGAACATTAAGTGAATCCGCGGCTACTGACCTGACATCTTCCTCCAGTGTAACGCTAGCGATGATATAATCCTCTTCTGGCTTCGCATGTTGGCTTATTAGTCGGGACAGTAGGTCGGCATGGCCGAACTTCTCAGTCGGAACGTACTCGATGTCAAAGTCGTACAGAAGTAACGTGAGGGCAAAACGTTGCAACCGGTTAGCCGTATACACCGGGATACCTTTCTTGGAGCCGAAGATTCGAACCAATGGAGCGTGGTCAGTTTGAAGGCGGAAGCGCCGACCAAAGATCATTTTGTGAAACTTCGTAACTGCGAAGATGATAGCTAGACCTTCTCTATCAGGCTGACTATAGTTCTGCTCCGCCTTGGTGAGTGCTCTCGAGGCGTGCTGCACCACCTTGATGGAGCCATCGGAGAATTTATGGCTGATTGTGGCCCCGAGACCGACTGATGAAGCATCGGCGGACACGATGATCTCCTTCTTCGGATCGAAGTGTGTAAGCAGTAGGTCCGAAGTAAGAATCTGCTTGAATCGGTCGAACGCCTGTTGACACTCCGTATTCCAATCAAACTTCGATTCTGTTTTGAGGAGGTTATCAAGGGGATAGCGGAGCGCTCGCATATTAGACACGAACTTTCCATAATAGTTAATCGCGCCAAGGAAGGAGCGTACACCAGATACGTCGGAAGGAGGAGGAAGCTTGCTAATTGCTTCAACTTTTGCTGGATCCGGTCGAAGTCCGCTAGCGTCGATGATGTGTCCAAGATAACGAATTTGTCGCTTTCCAAATGAACACTTCTCAGCTCTGATCGTAAATCCGAAGTCTTGAATTCGCTGAAGAACGGCTCGGAGATTGCGGTCGTGCTCTTGCTGGTTTTCACCGCCCACAACAACGTCATCAAGATAACCGGATGTTCCTGGTAGATCAGCTAGCATCGTGTCGATGAGTTGCTGGAAAACTCCAGGAGCAATTTTCACACCCGGCGGAAGGCGGTTGTAGAGGTAGAGTCCACGGTGCGTGTTGATAGTAAGTAGACTCCGAAATTTTTCATCGACCGGTACCTGCATGAAAGCGTCCGAAAAATCAATCTGACTGAACACTTGGCAGTTCGCTAGCTTGGCAAATATATCTTCCGGTAGAGGCAACGGGTACTGGTTCGATTGAAGAGCGGAGTTCAAGCCTGTCGAGTAATCTCCGCAGATCCTAATTGCCCCATTCGCCTTGCGCACGACAACTATAGGAGCAGCCCATTCCGAGTAATCGATTGGCGAAATGATCTTCAGCTTCTCCAATCTATCCAACTCCTGGTTAACGGCATCGTACATTGCATATGCAACGGGCCGTTTGGGACAAAACACGGGTTTACAGCTTGTTTTCAGTTCGAACTTAACGGCCGTTTTGATGCACAACCCGAGCTTACAACTGAACACCTTCGGGAAGGTTGACTTGAGAGTCGACAAGGATGCTGGAGAGGCAGAAATATTGCAGCAAAAATTGTCCATCGGTACTGACCAGAGATCGAAGCTGTCCACGAAGTCGGATCCGAGAAGCTGCAGTGGTTTCTCCGTCACTCGAATCACACCATTTCGTGTTGTTTCACCGATGGTAACGTTGCACACGAACTCGCCTTCAAGCAGCAAGGTATTACCAGAAGCGGTCTTCGCCTTGACCGTCGATGGAACCAGCTCCGGACTTCCGATCTTCTCCCAAATTTGCTTGCTGATGACCGTGATGTCCGAAGCGGTATCGAGTTGCAGCTGAATCGACGTCCCGCATATACTTACGGGCACGAACCTCCGTCGTTGCTGCACGCTGCATACGTCGACGATTACCACCTTGCTATCCACCGAATGCTTCTTCCTTCTCCTCATCGTAGGCTGGCGTGCTTTGTTCGCACTACCACAATAGCCTTCTCGATGTCCAAATTGACCACATTCGGAACACTTGTGCTGCTTGTAGCCGCAGTTGCGAACATAATGTAGTCCGCCACAAAACCAACACGGTGAATCTGGTTTGCATTCACTATCGCTCAATGCCTGGTTTGGGGACTCAAAGTCACGCTTTTTAAATTGCCTGTTGCTATACTTGATCGCGTTCACTTGATCGAATGGAACCGGCGCTTCGATCATAGCGTTATCGTGCTTGAGGTTGAAAAGACGCTGGCACTCATTTGACAGGTGCTCTAGTGTGACGTCATTTACCTCCTCGATCTTTGAGAGGAGCCGCATCCTAATTTCGGCATCACTCTCCGATTTCAACCCGCACACGTATATCAAGCACTTAAATTGCTCCTCCGACAACTTTCCGAGCTCGAACTCCACACAAGCTTTGTTGACTCGGCAGGCGTACGCAATATGGTCTTCGGTCGGATACCGGGAAATCTGCAAACATCTGTATCGCCGACTGATCACCGACTCCTTTGCACCGAACAAATTTTTCATCTTCTCGACCGTCTGGGAGAAGGAAAAATCTTTGGGAAGCTTGGGAAGAATGAAACTCACGTACCTTTCGTGTTCAATCGGTCCCAGCTTCCGAAGCAGCAGTCGCACTTTCGCTTGATCGTCTAATCGAGCTGCGTCCTTCTCGAATAGCTCATCGTATCGAGTGTACCAAGCAGCAAAAGTTATGTTGCTATCCGGTTCGTAGCGAAAATCCTTGATGTTATTCGCCAATGAGTCAAGGATCTGCTCCGGATTGTATGCAACTTGTCGTTCTCGGGACTTTGCCAACGTACGGATGAGCTCCTGATGACGCGCTTCACGGCGTGTCTCGTTTGCTTCGTTTTGCTGGGTCACTTGAATCACTTGAGTCATCATTTGTTGCATCAAAAACATCATCTGACCAAGGTCCGGCTGACTCATTTGTTGCTGCTGAGGAGGAGGAAGAGCATATTGTTGCTGTCCGGGTGCTGCTGGAACGGACTGTTGCTGATGGACCGGGGCTCCCTGCTGTAAATTCAACTGCTGCTGTTGCTGCTGCTGCTGTTGATTCTGAAACCGCTGCTGCTGGTCGACATCGCGTGGAATTTGTCCGTTATTTTCCATTACACTAGCACTATGTCTTCTTTTCCTCCGTTTACGCGCGGGAGGCGAAATGTTGGGTTATCTTCGGGAACTTCACACGCGAAAAAAAAACTCAACAAATCGCTCACAACTCGTCGCCACTTTTATGTCGCGGGACCGTCGCACTAAGGTGGCACTTATCCCGTCATCAGGGGCAGGAAATAAAACGCGCACGTAACTATAAATACTAATTTATTACGGCACTACTAAAAACAGTCACGCGACACAAAACAATCTAAAACATTCTAACTTGCTTGACAACATAATGTTATTGTTTTGCTCTTTCTGTTGCTTCACACGAGTGGCAGCTATGGTGAGGCCTGCGATAAAGATAGGGCAACTGGCAGTGTTGCCTAATCCATTTTCGTTGTCTGCAACAGAACCTAACAGGCTTGATTTGTTAGAGGGGAAGTCGCAATTGTAGACGGTTCGCTTCACGGGGTAATCCGGTTTGTGGTAGAGCTTGCACGGAATGTCCCAAATGTAGTCTACAATACAATCCGCATACTGTGGAATTCAATTCAGGAAATTCAAGAATCTGTTCGTAACCAATATCACTTTACTGTTAAAAAAATCCGGAACAATACAAAATCCAAAAATTTGACGGGAGGAAAAATTTTAGCTTCCATCTACAAGCACAGCACTCTTCGATTCAGATCAGATAGATTCGGTCTTTTTCGCTTAAAAATGCAAACGGTTATAAGTAATGCTACAACTTCTTAGGTCAGTGTTATGGTTAGCATAATAAAATCTAACCTCATTGGTCTCTTTCCAGGCATTGCCAACAAACCTGCCTCCGGTACGTCAGCTAAGGAACCGTCACAGGAAAGCAACGTTTCGGTTGAATCCAGCACCTCGGCCAGCGCGGTCACAACTGCCGTTAACGTCTCTAGTACTTCTAATGTCTCACCTAGTACTACGACCAGCACTAACCCTGCTGCCGCTACGACCACCACCTCCTCCAATCCGGACGTGGGTCGAATGAAGGAGCAGCTCATGTATCTGGCCCAGCTGTTGAAGTTTGATGTGAGTCGATCAATAGATGTTTCACTTCGGAACCAATATAAACATTTTATTTGTTGTCCTTGCAGGTTATGTTCTCGGACTTCCCGAAGGGCAACCACGGCGAATATCTCACGCTGGTAACGCTGTCGACCGAACCGCCGCAGTTGTGCCATGGCAGTGGTGCCAGTCTGGAAGAATCGCACGACGAGGCAGCCCGCGGAGCGCTGGAAATCCTCAGCAAGATCGGCTTGGACAACGTCAAGCCCAAGGGTAGTAGCAATTCTACTACTACCGGAGGTGGAGATGAAAGTAAGTCAAAACCTCCGCTGACCAACGGGTTGAAGAAGTAATAAGAAGGGGAAAAGGGGAAGAATTTGAGAAGTTTATGTCTTCGGAAGTAACTGCCCACTGGCGGTGATTTCCGCTGACCCAAACTACTCGAAACCGTCGCCGGTTGAGGTTATGAAAACTGCCATCTTGGGGAAAAAGAAACAAAGGAAAAGCATGAGTTTGTCTGAAGACAACACAATGGAACGAACGCGGGGGTAAGACGATGCATTTAACCAGATAAAAAGCAAATGGTAAATCTTCTTAGAAATTCATGATTTTCGACAACAAAGCGCTAATGCATTAACTAAACATATTGAACGCAGAGAAACAGAAACAGTGCGCTGAAAGTATTCGCGCTTGTTTTTTTTTAGAGAATGGAGCTCGCTGCGAGCGACTGGCTCGATTAATAGGACTTGTCTGGAGCGAAAGTACGTGTCTCTCAGGCAGGTTCTATTAATTCGTATTTTTAAAGAATTCTGTCTACCGGACGGAAATGCTTTTGACACGGTAACTACACTGAACCGATGGTGGCTAGTTACGGGTGTCACAAGTGAAATTTTCAATTGATTACCATTTACCTAAAACAGCGAAAAACAGCAAATTGCAACAGCAAAGGGATTGTTGGTGGAAAAAAATTGGAAGAAGTATTACAAGTATTGAAGGTTCTTAATCATATGGAATCGATTTAAGCGATTGGAGTGCAGAGCAACACTGGATAAGGTCGAGGAAAGAGGGAGAAGAAAGGGTGTATACCAATATAATCGTTCTACTACTGCATAATAATATGGATACCGACGAGTTCTGACCGTTACTCTTGATCACTGGCTGACCGTAAATTGAGTCAGTCAGCCGATTGAATAACGTTTTTATATTGCTATATTGTTTTAATCGTAGTTTGTGTATTGTTTAAAAACCTTCATATAAAATATCATAGTTAAAAACGAGAGGTGAAAGGAAGTGAAGGAACGAGCCGTTTGCGCTCGAATACAATAAACTTTCGACGCTGTGTCGGCTCACTGCTGGCGTAGGAGGCGCTGAAACTGTGGTACTAGATTAATCCGCGGCGAAACTGTCGAGGTATTCTGTCGAAAACTACATCTGAAGATGACGGATCTTCTAGTACGATTTTTCAAGTGGAATATTGTTGGGGGCTAGTCGCAGAAACGTCAAATCTAGTACCACATCATTTAAAATTGTAATAGAGCAAGCAGCGTTCGAGATTTTACTGTAACCCTTACTTGTAGTAGGCGTGTGTCCAAGAGTGCGTTCCAATGATCTTGGACCCAACCTAAGCCAAATTCAGGCTAGGTGAGAACCATCAAACATGTTCTAGTACTACGTGCCAGTTTGGACAAGCGCCTTCCCTACGCATAAAGTTAATCACCAATTAAGCTAAGTGTGTTTCTACTAGTAATACATATATCTGTAAGAAATAATGTATTTTTTCAGTACTACTATTTCTACCCCTTTACACACTCCCACCCTCATACAAGCGTCCACTAATCACATTCACACACCCCACACACATACAGTTTACAAGTTCAATAAATGTATTTATTCTACACAAACATAACCATTTCGCAGCAACAGAGATCAGAACAAGATAGGTTTCTTTTCACTTTTTCAAACATTACAATCCACAATAAATAAACAATAGTTCATAACAGCCAGAGATAGCACAGCATACGTCAATGTCCCCTTTCATCCCCATTCAAAGAATACACACACAGACACAAAGTCACTACACAATCGTGTAATTGTGTAAAGCCAAAAACATAAAAAATACATTCTTTCCCGGATATTTAAACTAACTAACAACCAAAACAAAACAAATACAAGCAAACTGTAGCTATAACGAGTTGAAGAAACAAAAAGGACAACCAGCAGAAACACATTTCTTTGTTTGACAAAAAAGAATAAGAAGAAGAAGAAGCTAGTACTAAAATCGAACAGCAACTAACAGCAGTGACGAAATCAAGAGCAAATTAGGCACATGGTAATTGATGAGACGTAACGAGAATGAGGAGCAATATTCAACTGTAGAAGACATCCAAAACCAAAAGTAAGACAGAAACGGGAAATTTGAACCAATGGCAAGTTACTTTTTACTTTTTACATTGCAATTTTCTAATGTACGGTTGATCTCCTCCGATACAGCTCCGCAACTGCGGATCCTCGATTGATCGGATGGCGATTGAGCATTTGTACGGTTTTTTCCCCGAATGGACCGATTGGCCGAATGAGATCGAAACGATGGTATGCTAAAACTCCGAACAAAGCAGGATGTTATTTAACTACCATCGGACTCAAGGATGAGTCATTTCGCCGAAAACTTATTCTTTCTCAACGATTCGGTGAAATGACCCACGCCGTTTTATATTTATTTATTCAAAATTCGGCCTGTTATTTGATTCGGTCAGCTGTTCAATTGCAACCTTCCAATCGCCCCACTTGGTCAATCAATCAAGAGGTCAGTCAGTCAAAAAAGACTGGGATAGCCCGTTTGGCAGAAAGTCATTTGTAATAAGGTCATTTGGCATAAAGAAGCATTTGACCTTAAAAATTCAGCCACGCTCTACATGCCAAATGACCCTTGAGAGTTAACTGTTAACTCATTTTGACAGGCTGAATTATACATTATTTTTTACGTTCAATGGCTGTAATCTCAACAGTCATTTGATATAACGGTCATTTGGCATAAATGGAGAAAGTAATAGAACTCTCCTTTTCTGAATGCCAACTGACTTTATGCCAAATGACTTTCGGCCAAATGATGTATCTCCCCGAGAAAATTAAAACTATAAGAACCATTCGATGATTAAAATTGAAATTTTGTTGTTAACTTATTAAAACTTTTTCCGGCTTGTTTCTGTCGCGGTATGTTAGATTTTTTTTTTGTTTCAACCGTTGAAACCAAAATTATCGAATGATTTTTATACGTGCATACAAAGCAAAACAAAACAAACAATACTGAAACCCTCATGCAAAAACACACTCGGAAACACACGGTAGGAAATTTGTTTGATGTTTTAGAAAGGAAATGTTGTTTCAAAATTATTTACAAAAAAAAAGAAAAGAAAAGAAGAAAGCTATAAAACGCAAAACTTTCAATATTTTTCATATTCTCGAAGGAATTGAATCATTTCCATCAACCAAAATCTGAAAGGAAATGAGTTCAAGAGATGATGTGAAGAACTGTGAAACACTTCTCTGAATAAAAACAACCCAATGACACTCAATGGAACACAGATATGTCAAGCAGAATCCCGCTTCTGCCCGCGGAGGCCGTTTTCTCACTTGCTCTAAAACTACCGAACGCTCCTTTTTATTTTTTTGGGAAGTATTTCCCTCCTTCAGCCTCTGGTTCTGGATTCGTGTATTTCATAGAAAAAAAATAATAATTATACAATATTCAATGGCACAATAACATTATCGACCACGCTTCCGGGCCTGCTAAAACAAATCCGCAATCTTATCTAGCACCTTTTTCAGCAAGCCCAACCGGTTGAAGGTGAAGAAGTGCACCAGTTTGACCTCGTCGGGTCGCTCCTGCCGCAGGGTCCGCACCAGTTCGGCAAAGTGCTTCACCACGAACGCCTCGAAGACGTCCGGCTCGTCGAGGGCATGTGAGTGTAGCATGGCGAGCACTTCCGGTGGCGGGTTGACGCGCGTAAGGTTGAGCACGGTTTCCAGCTGGTCGTACGAGGCCGGCAGGAAGATGCCCGGAACGATGGGAACCGTGATGCCCGCCCGCCTGCACTCGTCCACGTACTGCAAGTACGAGGCGGCATCGTAGAGGGTTTGCGTCAAGACGAATTCCACGCCGAGGTCGACCTGTGTGGGGGAAGGGATGGAAAGAAGGGTACGGTCAGTTTCGAAAGTCATCGAAAATAAAACTCAATTTTGATGGTTGTGCTGGGAAAATTGGCTTCGGCGAGTGACATATGACCAGGAATGCCGGGTGTATTTTGAAATCTTCAACGAGGTCGACGGAACGTCTTCACTTGTCTTCAACGCTACTTTACAAATTTAAGAGCGGGGGAGGATGTTTAATATTTCAGATTTATAGAACTGAGTTTTTACAGACGGTCAGGGAACTTCCCAGAAGTTCACTACCCATAAAAGCATAACTATCCCATCTTTGCTTGATTTCCTATTCATATGGGATAGTTATGCTTTTATGCGCTGTTTGGGAAGCTTCTTAAAAGTCAAGCACAATTTGTTGCATTTGATTAATCATAAGCATTTAGCATGAATTTCAAGACATTTATCATCAATCTATAACCGTCATCACCAGTGTTGGCAAAATCAGCAATCAATTGATATTTTTCCGCTCTCATGCGCTCGCAATATCACGCGTGATATTGGAACAAAATATCACGCTTGATATGGATTTTACAAGCTCCTTCGATATTGCGAGACTATTCACAACGTGCAAAAATCAAGCTGATAGTTGACTCGACACAAAAATGATTCCGTTGCACATCGTTTTCTTAGATTCCGTTTTTACTGTTCACCGATGGCAGACACGAAGTCAATCTCACCACAGTTTGTTGAGATTTGCAGCTGGTGAGCTTTGTTAGCTTGATATTCCGTGCTGCTATATCACAGCTTGCAAAATCAACTGCAGTTGTTTGCTTGTTGATTTTTGTCAAGCGTGATCTTGGGCGTTGGTGAGATTTGACTTTTTGATATGTTCCAAACACTGGTCATCACAATGAGGTAATTTATTAAGATCAATGATTAACAATTAATATCTAAAAAGGTCATAAATATAATTTTTGATTAATATTATTGATTATTAAACACTTAACGCTCAAGTTAAGACAATATCATTTGCTTTCGGAGAACTGCTTAAAAGTCCGGAGAACGTTGTTCAGAGAACGTTGTGGAATTTCAAGCAACTTCGTAGAACTTTAGGAAATTTAGAAGTAGTTCACGTTGTAGAAGTTCAGATAACTTTGTAAAACTTCATCTCTAAGATCAGAACGTCCCGAAGAAACGACCCAAGTAACCAAAGGCACGTTATTTCGCCTTTTTGGCTATATACAGCTGAACAACGGCTATATCAGTGTTTGCAAGTTCTGATGAGGCCCGTATATAACCAAAAAGGCGAAATAACGTGCCTATGGTTACTTGGGGAGCTCCACTTTTTGGCTCAGCTCTTGTACACTCTTCGGTCCCAAGCTAATCGATTCACCCCTCGAAACATAGGAAAATCCACGAACCCCTCATTTCATCTGTCATAGCGAATCAAAACACACATAGAGTAGTACTGGAATTTATACTAGAATGGAGTACGTTAATCTTCTGCTTGGGACCAATAGGCTCGTCAAGCAGTGAGCCAATTTAAAATCGTTAGTTTCGTATTGATTGTTGCTCTACTCTCTTCGGTCCCAAGCTAATCGATGCACCTCTCGAAACATAGGAAAATCCACGAACCCCTCATTTTATCTGTCAAACTTCCATAGCGAATCAAAACAAACATAGTGTAGTACTAGACTTTCGACTAGAATGGGGTACGCTTGTCGCTTATAGATGTACTTGGGACCAATAGGCTAGTCAAGTAGAGCGCTGCACTGCGTAATTGCCAAGAGGAGTGGATGGAGAGAGAGAGTTCGTGGGGCAATACCAGGTTCTGCAGAAATGCCGCCAATACAACGTGCCCACACATCATTTGTCCATCGATTTCAAATCCGCATACGACACAATCGATCGAGATCAGCTATGGCAGATTATGCACGAGTACGGATTTCCGGATAAACTGACGCGATTGGTCAAGGCGACGATGGATCGAGTGATGTGCGTTGTTCGAGTTCGAGAATCCTTTGAATCTCCATGGGGGTTACGGCAAGGTGATGGACTTTCGTGTCTGCTATTCAACATCGCGTTAGAAGGTGTGATCAGAAGAGCTGGGATAGACACGAATGGCACGATCTCCGGGAAGTCCATCCAGCTTCTTGGCTTCACCGATGGTGGCGGAAACGTACATCAGACAGAAAGCTGGACTTGCCATCAACGCATCGAAGTCAAAAACACATGTTAGCCTCCCACCCCGCGGGGCCCCGAGTTCAGATTGACGGTGACGAAATCGAGGTGGTTGACAAGTTCGTGTATTTGGGCTCACTGGTGACCGCCGAAAATGATACCAGCAGAGAAATTCAAAGACGCATTATCGCAGGGAATCGTGCCTACTTTGTTGACTATCTACAAGACGCTGATTAGACCGGTGGTCCTCTACGGCCACGAGACCTGGACTATGCTCGTGGAGGACTCTTGGTGTTTTCGAACGGAAGGTGTTGCGTACCATCTACGATGGAGTGCAGATGGATGACGGAACGTGGAGGTGGCGAATGAACCACGAATTGCACCAGCTGCTGGGAGAACCATCCACGGTCACCATTGCAAGAATGCCGCACGACGACTCAGTGAAAATGGTTCTCGAAAGCGACCCAAATGGAAGGCGACCTGCGGACCCTTCGCAGACTACGAGACTGTCGAAGTGTGGCCATAGGTCGAGTAGAATGGAGACAACTTCTTCGGACAGCAGAGGGCAACAAGGTCTTAGCCTGTTTGGTAAGATATATATAACTTGGCCTCCTGGACGCTCTTCTTTTTCAGCTCCACCAAATCACCTTCCAATTGTTGAACCTTCTTCCGACGCTCTTCTGCCAGTTTTCTCAGAGAATGAGTCTCTTACTGAATCGTATGGAGAATTTTTTTTAATCGTAGGTTACTTAAGGCCTGTACTCGAAAAAAATGCACCAGACAAAAGTGTTTGCCAAAAATTTATTTTAAGTCGGATTTTCTTGAAACTTTCAGGAAATGAACTAATGCATATGGATTATGTTTCGACATAATAACTTTATTCAATTTCCTTTCCATCGCTGACCCCTCATTATATTTTGTGCAATAGTGGAGCCGATCTTTTTGGTCACTTTCATCCATTCTTTCTTCAACTCCAGCTCGTTCTTAAACACCTTGGACGATTTTCGAACTTTGGCCTTCATTATGGCCCAAAATCTTTCCACCGGACGAATCTCTGGTGAATTTGGGGGGTTGGCGGTTTTTGGTACAAAAACAACGTTATTGTCTCTGTACCAATCCAACGTCGATCGCGCGTAATGGCATGATGCCAGGTCCGGTCAAAAAAATGTCTCGCCTCCGTGGGACCGCAGGAAGGGCAACAGACGCTTCTGGAGGCACTCGGTGCGGTAAATTTCGCTGTTGATGGTACCCATTGTGATGTACGGTTTACTTAGTTTACCGCATTGGCATATGGCCTGCCAGAGCAAGTATTTTTTGGCGAATTTGTCCACTTTCTTCTTCCTTATGTCTTCCGGAACATCAAACCGTCATTTGGCAACGTAGAACTCCAGCCCCGGTATCTGCTTTTCGTCTACCTTGATGTAGGTTTCGTCATCTATAACCACACACATCGGTTTCGTTAACCACTCTCGATACAGCTTCCTTGCGCGGGATTTGGCCGCCGTGTTTTGTTGATCACGCCGGTTCGGTGCCTTCCGGACCTTGAATACACGAAGCCTAGCTCGTTTCATGGTTTGCTGAACGAACCAGGCGGAACACTTTGCCTTCAGAGCCGCGTCGCGAATCGAAAGGTTCGGATTACGCTTGAAATAATCCAACACCTTCCGGGCCTTCACAGGGTCAGCTGTGAAGGAGTTTCTTCCACTTCCAGCCTGCCGCTCGGTCGTCTTGGACTCCTTAACGATTTTACCACCCGAGACACAGTTGTATGGGTGATTCCCAGTTGTCTTCCGATCCATCTCATGGTCGCAGTCTGATTTTCCATGACGGCGCGCAAAATTCTCCGGAGATTTTCTACTTGTTTCGATGACATCTCAATAACCACTGAACCGATTGTTATTAAATTTTGCACATGTAAACAATTCATTCCAAACTAGTTATGTCCAGATATTCATCAATTTTTACCCACAGTTACACACGGATAAAAATGGTGCATTTTTTTCGAGTACAAGCCTTATGCGTTGAATAACCTACGCTTTAAGAAAAATTTCATTTCTTACATTCTAGCACCGCACTTCCTTCGGCAAAGTTGTAAGGCACTTCCTGGACTATATTTGTACTTAGTTGCACGATTGTGGTCTCTAGGGATTAAAATACAAAAAAGTTGATTTTCCCATACGAATTTCCATATAAATTTTAAACGCAATGCGGAAAGCCGAGTTACAACCAATCGTCCCCAAATTTTGCACAGTTGTTTGGGACTCCAAATGGAACCAAAAAAGTGTTGTTCTCGATTGGTGAGGTAAAGTTTGCGTTTTTCCATATAGCGGTGACCCATTCTAATGCGGTTTAGGATTTTGGTTTTATATATTGTTAATCTACTGATTGGTTTAAGTTAAATTTGAATCCAGATCTCTAAAATTCACCAAGTTCATGTACCTGATGACTTTAAATTTCTATTCTTGTCAATGTCCACAAAATTTAACCATTGGATCATTTTCGTCAATGTCCTAGAACTCTAGTTTTGTAGGTAATTCTGAGTAGAATTCCAAGGCAAATTTTAATGAAAATTCATAACAGCGTTTGACGTTAATTCTTAAGGAGTTATGAGAAAATGTGAACGAGAAGGAGGACTACACCATGATCATTCTGAGGAGAACTTCAAGATAATACAAAAGAGAAATCTAAGGACATTGTTAGGATAATTTAAAGAAGATTCTGGGACAAAAGGAATCCGGAGCATATTTCCATGTGAGTTTTCGGAGAATTCATAGAGGGTATATTATGAAGAATTACAGTTAAATATGAGTATAACGAATTCGGTTGAATATTTCAAGAGGGTTCTG